GAACTTCTCCAACTCAACATCCAAAGAACAAATAATCCAGTCAAGAAATGGGCAGAAGACAGGAACAGACATTTCTCCAAAGAAGACAATCAGATGGCCAACAGACCCATGAAAAAGTGCTCCACATCACTCAGCATCAGTGAAATACAAATCAAAACCACAATGAGATACCACCTCACACCAGTCAGAAAGGCTAAAATTAAGAAGTCAGGAAAGGACAGATGTTGGCAAGGATGTGGAGAAAGGGGAACCAACCCTCTTACACTGTTGGTGGAAATGCAAGCTGGTGTAGCCACTCTGGAAAACAGTATGGAGGTTCCTCAAAAAGTCGAAAATAGAGCTACCCTATGACCTAGCAATTGCACTACTTGGTATTTACCCCAAAGATACAAATGTAGTGATCCGAAGTGGCATCTGCACCCCAAGGTTTATAGCAGTGATGTCCATAATAGTCAAACTATGGAAAGAGTCCAGATGTCCATTGACAGATGAATGGATTAGTAAGATGTGATATATATATATATATATATATATATATATGAATGAATACTACTCAGCCATAAAAAAAAAAAAAGAAATCTTGCTGTTTTTAAGTGTGTGTTTGGAACTAGAGGGTATTGTGCTAGTGAAATAAGTCAATCAGAGAAAGACAATTATCATATGATCTCACTGATATGTGGAATTTAAGAAACAAAACAGAAGATCATAGAGGAAGGGAGGGAAAAATAAAACGTGACTAAATCAGAGAGGGAGAAAAACTGTAAGAGACTCTGAATCATAGGAAACAAATTGAGGGTTGCTGGATGGGGTGGTGGTGGAGTGATGGGATAACTGGGTGATGGTCATTAAGGAGGGCATGTGATATAATGAGCAATGAGTATTATATAAGACTGATGAATCACTGACCTCCACCTCTGAAACCAATAATACATTATATTAATTAGTTGAATTTAAATTAAAAAAAGTAAAAAAAGACAAAATCTGTATATATGTTATTTATGTGAGTGTGTGTGAGATATACGTGTGTGTATTTGTATAGGTATAGAGAAAAGTGAAAGAATACATATCAGACCATTAACACTGGTGGGAGTTTGAGTTGGCAATATGCATACATGAGAAGCAGGGAAAATTACTGTTTTTATAAAGTTTGTTGCAAGGAATTTGTATTGCTTTTGTGATTGAGAAAGAAATAAAAAAAATGTCTCAATGAATACCTCTTTTTTTTTCCCCTAAATGAACATTTCATAAGCCTGTTCTAAACCAGGCACTGTACTAGACTCTAGGCATACAAAGATGAAGAAGGGGGGGCCTTGCTGGCTCAGTCAATGGATCATGTGACTCTTGATCTCAGGGTCGTGAGTTCAAGCCACACATTGGGCATGGAGCCTGTTTAAAAAAAAATAATATAAAATAAAGTAGAAGAAGACAATGACTTTGGGGCGCCTGGGTGGCTCGGTTGGTTAAGCGACTGCCTTCAGCTCAGGTTATGATTCCGGAGTGCCGGGATCGAGTCCCACGTCCAGCTCCCAGCTCCATGGGGAGTCTGCTTCTCCCTCTGACCTTCTTCCCTCTCATGCTCTCTCTCTCTCTCTCTCAAGTAAATGAATAAAATATTAAAAAAAAAAAGACAATGACTTTGTTCTAAAAGGAACCCATGATCTAGGGGAAGAGACAGAAGAATCAACCAACAGCGATGTTAAACTGTTAGGGGCTTTAGAGGGATGACTAGGCCGCCCCTAAAGCATAGGCAGGGTTCCTCTGTTTTATTCTCAGGAAGTGTTTGAGGGGTGTGTGCAGAGAATGTTTCCTGGAGGAGCTGATTGAGTTAGAGCTGAATCTTGCCTGATGCTTAGTTTTCCAGCTGGAGATGGGCTTAAAGGGTGTTCCAGACAGAAAGAACTCAATTTAGGAAGACAGGGATGCAAGAAACAACAAGAGGGCTTTGGAAACTCTGAGATTATGTGAGGGAGTGGGAGTAAATGAAGCTGAACAGGTAGGCACTGTTCATATTTAGAAGGGCCTAGTGTGCTAATGCAAGGTTTTCATTTAATGCTACAGGTTTTGAACTCCTTCATAGAATAGGAGAATGACATGATTAGATTTGTACTCTCAAAAAATCATTCTTGCTGCAGCCTGTACAGAATATAGGAAAGAGTGGGGAAGCAATGGTTTCTGCATTCAAAGAGGTCACCGTTTACTTTGGAAAAGAGACAAACGATAACCAGCATTTAGCAACTACTTACGTGGCCAGCGCTAAGTACTCCATAAATAGCAAATATCTCTCTCTCTTTTTAAAAGATTTTATTTATTTATTTGACAGAAAGAGAGCAAATGCACAAGCAGGTGGACCCTGGGATCATCACCTGAGCCGAAGGTAGACACTGAACAAAATGAGCCACCCAGGCGCCCCCAGGGGGAAATATTTCATGCTTCACCACCTACCTGTGGTAACATGTGGACCCCTCCATTTTTTCAAGAAGGAAACTGAGACACAGAGAAGTCAAGTGACTTTCCTCTGGATAGCCAAGTAGGCAGGCTGAGCTTTGGAGATCAAGAACTTAACCCCCACATAGTACTGTTTCTTAGATTTATAGTGGACTGTGTTCGGTTCTAAGCTAGGATAGGTGTCTTGGGGACCATCTAACCTGGACTGGGAAAATCAGGTAAGTCTTCCTATCCCAGAGGAGATGACTTCTAGTCTGAGATCAGAGACATAGATTAGAGTTCATGAGGAAGGAGGTGAGAAAGAAACCTCCAGGGAGAGGGAGTAGATTGTGTAAAGATACTGAGCTGCAAGAGAGCTTCATATATTGAGGGGAACTGAAGGTCACTCAGCATGGCTGGGTCACAGAGTCCTGGGAAGAGGGGCTGGTGAGGTAAGTGAGGGACCAGACTGAGTTCTTAAAATTTTTTTATGATTTCATCCTAAGAGCAATAAGTAGCCATTGAAGTATTCAATGCAGGGGGTGACTACTTTTGCACTTTAGATTACTCTTTTTATTTGGTGGAGAATGGGTTAGAAAGGGCAAGCCTGCGGGTCTAACATCAGTCAGTGTTGTTTGAGTCATCTAGAGGGCCAGGACTTTTAGGGGGTCTGGAAAGAAACAGGGTAGGCAACTGCTTGTTGAAGGTCTATTATCTAAATTAAACTGACATATATTAACGATACATTTTGTCAGGATTTTTTTTTTTTTTTTGGTATCACCAAGGCTTAGGAAGTCAGCACCTTATATCAGAGTGTTAGAGTTCTCTTTTCAGGAATGAGGTGGGGAGCATTGGGAGGAAATAAAAATAAAGATTCTGGAGCTACGTAGATGTGGGTTCGAATTCTGACTCTGCCACTTACTAGATCTGTGGCCTTTAAATGAATCACAAGGACATTCATCAGGTAAAGGCTCTAGCTTCTCATTCTGGTCTGAGCCACCATCATCTCTAGTCTGGAATATTACAGTATTCTGAACTAGTCTGTTTTCAGACTTGCTCTCTTGATCTGATTCTCCCAGAGTACCCTTACTTTATTACTTTTAATTTTAAAACACAGATTATATTCCTTCTTTGCTAAAAATCTTTCAATGGCCCTCCATTTCTATAGGACCCCAGATCATCTCTATTCTGTTCTCACCTCATCTTCTACTGGTCTCCCTTCACCCCTCCCACGGCCTTCTGCGCTCCAGTCAGAGAGCTTGTCATATTTTCTGGAATACAGGAGGCAGCCTCCTGCCTCAGGGCTTTTGCACTTGCCTCTCCCTATGCTTGAAATGCTATTTGCCAGAGTCATTCCCACTGACTACTCTAGGATCAGATCTGTACACAGATTGTGATCCTCAGTGAAGACTTACCTAACTACTCTACCGAAGATGAAATATAGGGGTGCCTGGATGGTGCAGTGGATTAAGCTCCAACTCCTGGCTTAGACTAGGGTTGGGAGACTGACTCTCCAGTGGAGTCCACCACTCAGCATGGAGTCAGCTTGAGATTCTCTCTCTCTCTCTTCTTCTGCCTCTTTCTCTCTCAAATAAATAAATAAATCTTAAAAAAAAGATAAGGGATACCTGGTGATAGGGCAGTCAGTGGAGCATCCACTCTTGGTGGAGTGCCCACCAAAGTTTTCATTTAATGCTACAGGTTTTGAACTCCTTCATAGAACAGGAGAATGGTTTCTGCTCAGGCCATGATCTCATGGTTGTGGGATCCAGCCCCTTGATGGGCTCAGCAAGGAATCTACTTGGTATTCTCTCTCTCTAAAATAAATAAATAAAAATCTTTAAAAAGTGATACTATAAAAGGGTATGGGGAAAAGAAAGGAAGACGGAAATACAGTATTTTCTTGACTGTTTTAGCCTTCAGTTCACTACAGTATCCCCATTGTGGTTTTTTGTATCCCCATAGTTTTAAACAGTGCCTACCAGAAAGAAAACATTCAACAGATGTTTAATTATCATGATAATCCAGATAACAATCACAAAGGACTTATTAAATAGGTCAGGCCGAGTTCTAAGCATTTTGCATATTTAATCCCCATAATAATCTTATGAAAAGAATACAATTACCATGTTCACTTTACAGAAATGAAGAAATGGAGAACACTGAAGCGCAGAGACTCAACAATTGACGCTCAGGAACTTGCCTAAGGTTACACAGCTGAAAAGTGGAGCGGAGATGGTGGAATAAAATGAATGAAATTCGATTTGGCTCTCAGGGCAGGGATGAAAATTGACACGGTGGGAGCGAATGCAATCGCTTCGTGGGAATGCGGTCAGTAGTGAGGGCGTCGCGCGCGCGCCTTGCAGCCCGGGTCTAAAGGAGGGTGCAAGTGCTTTGCTAACTGCGTCGCGGCGGCTCCACGGAGACTATGAACTGCCATTAGCAGCCGCCGCTCAGTCTCGGGCGGAGTGGGAGCAGGAAGTGGCGGCGGGCGTCGCGCGGGGTGACGTCACGGCAGCGCCGGTGGGGATAGGCGGGGGAGGAGGAGGAGCGAACCGAGCTTGGGGGGCGGCTGCACAGTCTCCGGGATCCCCAGGCCTGGAGGGGGGTCTGCGCGCGGCCGGCTGGCTCTGCCTCCCTGTCCGGTCCCGAGCGGGCCTCCCTCGGGCCAGCCCGATGTGACCGGGCCCAGCAGAGCCTGAGCAAGGAGCGGGTCCGTCGCGGAGCCGGAGGGCGGGAGGAACATGACATCGCGGAGGTGAGGAGCCCCGAGGGCCCGGCCCGGGCCTCGGCCCGGCCCCCGCCGCGTTCGATCAGCCCCGCCCGGGAGGGGGCGCCCCGGCCGGGCTTCGGACTCCCGCTCAGGGTCGCGGGGGGCAGTCTCCCTCCCAACTTCTCGTTCTCCCGGGGCCGGGGGCCCGGCGCCACCGCGCCCCCACCTCTCGGGTCCCCATTCATTTCCTGCCTCCCCGAGTTCCGGCTCCCGCAGCCCTGGGGATGCCCGTCAGGACGCGGGCAGGTAGAGCCGCCCAGGGAACCGCGGACGCCAGCGGCCCGGCTCGGCGCCGCATTCCTGACCCATTGCCTCATGAGAATTGCCTCATGGTGATTCCGAAATAACCCCGCTCACTTGGGGAGGCTCCTCGGCTCGGGACGCGGGAGGGGAGAGGAGGGAGTTGCGCGGGGCCCGGCCCCCGGCAGTCGAGCCGCTCTGGGTCACTCACTCTGCCTCCCGCGTGCGTTTGGGGGCTTCACTCGGGAACTTGACCCCTTTATGTGGCTCTTTGCACCTCCGTTCCCCCCCCTCACGTGTCAGAAATGGAAAAACTGACTGTATCTGCTGCTATTAGAAGTATTTCCTTCCTCCGCGGTCTTCGCTTTGGGAGATGGGAGGGAAGGGAGCCCTATCTCTTGTTAGCTAATCCTCAACCACAGCCTCGAAAGTCAGGTAACATTAATCGCCCCCGTTTTACGGATGTGGAAACTGAGGCTCAGAAGTTTCATGCTAATAAATGACAGGGTTTTGCACCTAAGAGTCAAAGGAGGATTAGTGAATTAATGAGATCCTTTGCAGGTTCAAGGTAATAATACTTCTAATAGCTAATGTTTATTTAGCTCTTACTGTAAGTCAAACACATTTAATTCTCACTGTAACCCTATGAGAAGAGGAATTCTTCTTCTTCTTTCTATTATCCTGGTTCTAAAGATGAGTAAACTGATTTTCAGAAGTTAGGCAGCTTGCCTGAAGTCACTGAACCAATAAGTGGTGGAGCCAGAATCCCCACTGTTTAATCACCATGTTGCTATTATTATTTTATAACTATTGTTAATCATTTGTAAGCCTTATTTTGTTGTTGAACTTCAGTGTGACCTATTGTTTTCAGAAAATGATCCTGTTATTTTGTATTGCCACTCTATATACGATTCACACATTAAGACCCATTGTTTGGTCTTTTCCTTTATTGGCTTGCTATGGTCACTGTCTTAGACATTGGAAAAACTGTTTCAAGCTGTTGGGGTTATTTGAGAGAATTTTCAAAATACTGGGAATGTCTTCTCAAAATACACCTGCAAATTATTTATTTGTGGGATGAAAAGAGGGAGAGAAAACAAAACCAAAACCTCTTAGGAAGTGAGTGATTTGGACAGGTCTCCTGGCCAAGTGCTTACAAATCTGGGTAATATAGAACTGCATTTCAGAGGAACAGTGTATAGCCTCAAATGTTCTAATTCTTTAGGGAGCTTTTAAATAAAACAGTTGTCTATTCTTTAATCTGTCAAATAGTCATTGAACCTTTTGTTCCTTGTGTCTGCTGTTCCAGACAAGTAAGGATCTGCTTCTTTAGGAGACAAAAAGACTGGGGGTTGGGAGTGGAGAAGGGGCCTAGTAGTAATAGACCCTACATTGTCCAGCTTGTTAGTGTAGAATTGGAGAAGTTGGGGGTATGGCCAAAGCTGCAAGTGGCAAAGATCATTCCGTTTCTCTGGCCCTCTTATGTTATTGGAAAGAAATGCGTGCCACCTAAAAAGTCAGCTTGTGAACATAACACATGTAATTGGAAATTATTTATTATATTTTCAGATTGCAGGTCTGTTTTATTATTTTTAACCAGGTTTTTTTTAAAGAAGATTTTATTTACTTATTTGACAGAGAGATCACAAGTAGGCAGTGAGGCAGGCAGAGAGAGAGGGGGAAGCAGGCTCCCTGCTAAGCAAAGAGCCAGATGTAGGGCTCAATCCCAGGACCCTGAGATCATGACCTGAGCTGAAGGCAGAGGCTTAACCCACTGAGCCACCCAGGCGCCCCTTTAACCGCTTTATTGAGGTATAAATGACATGCATTAGATTACATATATTTAAGCATACAATTTGATGTTTGGATACATGCACATAGTCATGAAACCATCATCATCGTGAAGATAATGAACATGTTCATCACCCTGTATGATGTTTCCTTGTGACTTTTTAAATCCCTTCCTTGTCAGGGGACCACTGTTCTGCTTTCTGTCACTACACCTTAGTTTACAAATCTTAGAATTTTATATAAATGGAATTTTATGTCTGGTGTCATATACTCAGCATAGTTATGTTGAGATTCATCATGTTGTAGTATGTATCAAAAAGTTCATTTCTTTTTATTGCTTGGTAATATCCCATCGTATGGGTGTACTACCATTTGTTTATCCATCCACCTGTTGATGGAAACATTTGGAATGTTCTGGAGTTTGGCTGTCACAAATAGAGCTGCTGTGAATGTTTGTACAACAAGAGGTATTTACCAAAATACCTCTTGGGGGAATGGCTAACTCATCTAGTTAATGCATATTTAACTTCTTCAGAAATTGCCAAACTTTTCCAAAGTAGTTATACCATTTATATTCCTACTAGTAGCATATTAGAGTTCTAGTTACTCCACACCTTTAACAACACTTGGTATGGTCAATTTCTAAATTTTAGCCATTCTAGTGGATCTGTCATGGTATCTCATTGTAGTTTTCTTTTTTAAAGATTTTTTAAAATTTATTTGAGAGAGAGAGCAAGTGCTCATGTGTATGAGCGATGGGGGCAGGGGCAGGGGAGAAGCAAACTCCCTGCTGAGCAGAGGGCCAGATGTAAAGACCCTGAGATCATGACCTGAGCTGAAGACAGACACTTAACTGACTGAGCCACCCAGGCACCCCTCATTGTCGTTTTCATTTTTTATTTTTTTAAAAGATTTTACTTATTTATTTGACAAAAAGGGAGAGATGGCAACAGAGAGCACAAGTGGGGAGGAGAGGGAGAAGCAGACTCCCCTTGAGCAGGTAGCCTGACGTGGGGCTTGATCCCAGGATGCTGGGATCATGATCTGAGCTGAAGGCAGATGCTTAACGGACAGAGCCACCTAGGCACCCCCTCATTGTAGTTTTAATTCATATTTTCCTTGGTGACTAATGATGTTGATCATCTTTTCATATGCTTATTTGCCATCTGTATATTTTCTTTGGTGACATGTCTATTTGATCAAATATTTTCCCCCATTTTTATTCAGTTTTTTTTTTTTTTTTTCAATTGAGATTCAAGAATTCTTTATTCCAGGGCCACCCGGGTGGCTCAGTCAGTTAAGGATCTGTCTTTGGCTCAGATCATGATCTCAAGTAAAGGGATCTGAACCCTTGGGTCAGACTCTGCTCAGCAGGGAGCCTGCTTCTCCCTCTCCCTCCATGCTTCTGCTCTCTCTTGCTCTGTCAAATAAATAAATAAAATCTTAAAAAAAAAAAAAGAATTCTTCATTCAGGAAACAAGTCCTTTATCAGAATTGCAAATATTTTCTCTTAGTCTGTGGTTTGTCTTCCATCTTTTTTTTTTTTTTTTTAAGATTTTATTTATTTGAGAGAGAGAGTGCACAGGCATAGGTGGGGGTGGTGAGCAAGAGGGTGAGGGAGAAGCAGACTCTTTTCTAAGCAGGGAACAGGGTTCAGGACTCCATCCCAGGACCCTGAAGTTATGACCTGAGCCAAAGGCAGACCGATGCTTAACCAACTGAACCACGCAGGTGCCCCCCCCTTTTTAAATATTTATTTATGTATTTCACACACACACACACACACACACACACACACCCATACACCCATACACCCATGAGTGGGGAGAGGGGGAGAGGGAGAGGAAGAGAATCCTCAAGCAGATTCTTCAGACTCCCCTCTGAGTGCAGAGCCTGATGCAGGGCTGGATCCCAGAACCTTGAGATCATGACCTAAACCGAAACCAAGAGTTGGATGCTTAGCTGACTGAGCCCCATTGTCTTTTCATGTTTTTTTTTTTTTTTTAACAGTCCCTTTAGAAAGAACAGAGGTTTTAAATTTTGATGAGATCCAATTTATCAATTTTTATTTTTATTAAATTAATTGATTAATTAATTTAAAAAGATTTTATTTTTAAGTAATCTCTACACCCCACATGGGGCTTGAACTTACAACCCAGAGATCAAGAGTCACATGCTCTGTTGGCTGAGCTAGCCAGGTGCCCCTCAATTTTTTTTTTTAATGGATCATGCTAAGGAATCTTTGCTTAATTAACCCAAGGTCCCAAATGTTTTCTAATAGGTTTATGATACACTTTGAGTTAATTTTTGTATATGGTGAGGTGTGAAGATTTGTATGTATGTGTACACGTACATATATTTATTTTGCATATAGATATCCAGTTTTAGCACTGTTTGTTGAAAAGACTGTTTCTTTTGAATTTGTATCTTTGTAGAAAATCTGTTGTCCATTTATATGTGGGTCTGTTTCTGGAATCCATGCTGTTCCATTGATCTGTTTATCTGTCCATATGCCAGTACACATGGTCTTGATTATTGTAGTTTTACTATAAGGCTTGAGATCAATGTTAGTCTTCCAGCTTTGTTTTTCTTTTTCAAATTATTTTTAACCTCGGTATTAATTCAATCAAATAGTTATTGAACCAGGCAGGATAAAGCAGTAAGATTGGCAAAGATGCTATTCATTTGGTTGAGAGAGGGAGAGAAAAGAAAAACCTGCGAATGAAGATTACAATTTCAGGTAGTAGTAACTGCTGGGAGGGCAAACAGCAAAACAAGTGGGGATAATGTTAGTTTGATGAATTTAGGAATGATCTCTCTGAGGAGGTGACCACAGGAATTGACTCCTGAGTGACCAGTGTTATTCTCAGTTTCATTTTGCCTAATTATCAAAATAATTCTTCTTGGTGTGTATAAGATTAGACTTTGTATGCATTCTGTAATTAAAATGTCAG